TGTATCTTCTGATTACAAAATATACCTTGATATGTAGGCATTTCTAGGATATTTTAATGATGGTGGGTGAGAGAGGGAATAGTTCTTAAACCACAGTTTCTGCTTAAACATGTCTTGGGACAATGACACATCCATGCCAGCAACTATGACAGTAAATCTCAACTGGGGTACTTCAGAGGACAGAGGATTTGGGATATATGATGGTCATTGTTAAATAAATTTCTATAGAATAGTCCTGAAAGAAAGATAAGAATGTCAATTCTTAAGAGAGTTTACATTATATCGCTGGATTTGTTGCAGTCTGGGTAAGGAGTAAGAGATTTCATCAATTTCAACCAAATGATAAACAGTGAAAGAGGAGATAATAAAAGCTCTTTAAGATATTGTGATTTTAAAATAGAGCAGATACCGTAAGAGAGAAGTCTAGGAAAAGGCATGGGCTTGAAAAGTCTCTTTCGACTAGAGGGCTAAGCCCAATAAACTGGTTCCGGGCAAACATCATTATAGAAGGCAAACTCGGATTCTAGGATCTCCAGTGGAAAGCCTGAATTTGTAAGCTCACTCACTGAGACGGTAATTCTGCTCACCTTGTTTCCGTGGGTAAATGTATGACGCTGGGAAGGAGTATTTCTAAATATGGAGTTGGCGAAGACATTGATATCCTTGTGTAAGCTGTGTGTATTCAGATAAAGTCACTAGTTTTGTAATCAGTGTGTTTCTCAGACATGCTCAGTCTATGTTTTAGATATCAGAAGTATAATCATTTTAATAGTAATATTCATCTTAAGACTATAAGAAATGGGCACTGTGTCTGATTTTCCAGATATACAAGAGATAGCAAAGTGCTTTGAAAAGGTTTCATTCATTTGATTTTTAAGTGTGCCTAGTCAAGTATTTAAACATTTTAAGAGACTCAAATATATTGAACTTTAACCGTATGCAAAAAGCCTAAGGAAATGTGATTAATTATGTAAGTATCATGGAATATTTAAGGAAGGTTTGCTTTGTTAATGAGGAGATAATTGAACATTAAACTTTAGGACGCACATAAAAATTGTACCCATTTTACCAACAGTCACTAGATTTATAAATAGAATAGCAATATTTTAAAGGTGTATTTAAAGGTGAGAGATACAAGAAAAACTAGGTTTTTAAATGTATAGCTTTCCTAAATTGAGTGTTGATTCCACAAATACTTTGTTTTAATTCAGAAATTGAATTTTAACTTAAAATAAACATTGTTTATAAAAGCAAGAATACTACTAGTTGCCTATCCAATGTCCATCCTGTTCCTCCTTTATGCCAGCAGAATCCTGATTTTCTGTCTGATTGGAAAGGCAGTGGAGTGAGACTGGTCTAAGCAAATCATGACAAGTCTGCTTTTCACTTTTTCTGGACCCCCTTTCAGCCAAGAAGGGCCATGTGGCTCAGTTCTGAACTCTGAAATCTACACAGAAATTTGTCAGAGGTATTTCTGGGAAAGCTTTTACTTTCTCATGAAAGGGGAGATGTGGCTGATGCCAACTTTTTCTCCACTTCTTCCTTCCAGGAGGCTAACATGAAGTCTAGCACCTCGGGAGCCATCTCATGACAATGGGGTCGACGGAAGGCCAAGGGAAACAGAGACGCTGATCTTGACATTGCTGAGCCACTAAACCAACCCCACCCCTACTGCCCCCAAACCTCTTACATGAGAAAAAGAATAAATCCCTGTTTGTTTAAGCCACTATAAGTCTTCAAAAATCACTGGCAGCCCAAACTATCCCTAATTATTCTCAAGTAACTGTAAATAGTCTTCTTTTGCGCACAAGAGCTCCTCCATTCACATACTAAAAATTCCCATTTGATAGCCATAAATAATGACTATAACTTGGGCTATGGATACTTCTGATTTGGATAGCAAAATTATTTCTTATTTCACACAAACACTATACCACAAGCCTGTCCCCTGAAACAGATTCAACTGTTAGACATCAGACCCAGGATGAAATCAAGAAAAAAACGAACTTGACGCTACCTCTTCCGCCTTGAGGGTGATGACTCTGGAGGTGGGGATCTTCCTTTTGGGCTTCGCCCTCAGTAACTCCTCATAGTTCTTACTTGCTGCCCCATTTCCATAAATCATTTGTAGCTTCCAGGTGGCTTCTTCCACTGCCTCATCCCTGTTCCATGCATCTGCCTCTTCTCTGCCCAGCTCCTCCGTCCTGTGCAGGAGTTTAGTCAGGTTCTTCAGCTCCTCCCTCCACTCCTGCCAAGGCAGAGTAGGGCCAAGCCCCTCTTGACACAGACACAGAGAACACCGACAAACAGAGGCGCCCACTGCCCCCTGTGAAGGGCCAGGGGGCTGCATATTCAGAATATCTAGGTCATCTATCTGGGGTCTCGAAGAGGGAAATGGCTTGCCCAAAGTCTCATAACAATGCAAAGACCAGGCTAGACACCCCCAGCTCACTCAATTGAACTTTCTCCTGGGATGGGCTCTTTTCATTAAACAAAGGCACGAGCTATATTTGCAAGGAATATAATGTTATCTCTGAGAGATAGTGAGAAGGAAAGAAAGAAAAGGAAGAACAAAAGGAAGGGAAACAAGAAAGAAAGGAGGGAAAGATGGAGAGAAGAGGAAGGAAGGAAGGAAAAAAGGAAGGAAGGAAGGAAGGAAGGAAGGAAGGAAGGAAGGAAGAAAGGGAGGGAGGGAGGGAGGGAGAAAAAGAAGGAAGGAATGGAAGGAGGGAGGAAGGGAATACTTACCTGGTCAGACAGAAGGTGGATTTTGGCCTCATACTGTGCACAGCAGCCGGAGCTCACTTGTACAATGCAGGAAGTACATATGCTTTCTCCAGACACCGGTAGAAACATTGCTTGCTGGATGATGGCATTGATCAGGGAGCTCTTCCCAGCCCCAGTGCTTCCAAATAATCCAATGTAGATTGGGTCCACTGTCGGCTTTTCAATCAAGGCAAGGAGCCTATTTCTGGGTGAATTTTGAAATGTACATTGTCATGATCATCAAAGTTTAGAGTGAAGAGCATTGAAACAGAATGCAAAGGAACTGAATTCTAATCCTGGGCACGTCACTAAAATCTTCTGAGTCTCTGTTCTCTCCTCTGTCAATGGAGAATAATCCCTATTTGCTACACAGAGCTGGCCTGGGGATCAAATGAGATTATGCAAAAATATTTGGTAATGATAATTCCACGCAATCCCTATAATGTCTATATAGATGTGAGGCATGTTTATTTGTATTCACCGGAAATTGCATATTCTTTTTTTTGTTTATGTGTCTGAGACAGGGTCTCGCTTTGTCACCTAGGCTGGAGTGCAGTGATGTAATCAAGGCTCACTGAAGCCTCAATCTCCTGGGCTCAAGAAACTCTCTCGCCTCAGCCTCTGAAGTAGCTGGAACTACAGGCGTGCCCCATGACACCTGACTAATTTTTTTATAGTTTGTGTAGACATAGGGCTTTGCCATATTGCTCAGGCTGGTCTCAAGTGGTCCACCTGCCTTAGCCTCCCAAAGTGCTGAGATTACAGATGTCAGCCACTGTACCTGGACAGAAATTGCATATTCTTGACCCTAGAAATACAGTGTATACAGAGGTGAAGTATTAATAGTGTTAGGAGCAATACAGAGTCTTACTGAACAGGAGAAGTTACAGCCTCAGCACCACTCAACTCCTTCAAGTCAGCAGAGTACAAATAGTTGGGGACATGAGCTCAGAGCCACACAGCCTGGGGTGAATTCTGGACCCTCTCACTGACCACTGGTGTGACTTTGTTCAAGTCTGGGCCTCTCTGAGCCTCGCTTTCAGTAAAATGGAAGTAATCATAATAGTTCCTACTTTATAGGAGTGTTGGATGGATTAAATTATATTTCATACACACACACACACACACACACACACACACACACACATATATATATAAAGCACTTAGCAGATTACCTAACAGTGACAGCTCAATGAATGGCAACTATCCCATAGCGACAGAAATTTGTATCCTTCTTTCTTAGTTTCTAATTAAATAGTCCCTTTCCTTGTTGGGGGAAAGCACCTATAATAGCCTAAGGAAAGACACTGATATAAGATTTCAGGGTTGCAGATTTCAGACTCACATGAGATATTTGACTCCATTAGGGATGCTATCATCCAGGAAGACAGACTGAATAAGTTTCTGATAAGTGTTGCTCAAAACTCTTCTGGTCCGTGATTCCAATTTTTCATCTGGAATTAACAGAGAGAGGTCACCTGTAGGTACCTGGCAGGGATAAAGTACTAGGTCTCCAAAGGAGGTGTCTGCTGAACATCGCAGAGAAGGGAAAAAAAAATGAAATGAAAAGCCGATTAAACAAGATAGCAGGTTATCCCACACTAGGGATGGTGGCTCACTGGAGATAGCGATCATTGGTTCTGAAAATCTCCAAAGAGCCAGGCTGCTCTGAAACTCTGGTAACAGAAGTTATGGTATGCTTTGCCATGGGCTTCAGCCCATTCCAGATTCTTCCCTCCTGTGGTCATAAAAAGAAAAAAAAAAGTGCAAGGACACCATGTTGACACCCACTGAAGCACCAACCTAATCATCTTCACAGGCTTTGTTCTAAGCAGGAAGAAGTTATTTTGATAACAACCCTCCTGCCCAGAGATGCCTGGAGACAAATTGCCTAACTGCATACTGCTGCAGAAACTTCCAGCCCTCTCTTTCCAAAACAGGTTCACTTCAAGATGTTTCATCCAGCTTCAGAATTTAACTTCCTCTTCCTTTGACCATTTTAACATACTTGGAACAGAACAGAGAACCATGTTAAAACAACAGTTTCAGGACACTCACATTCCTTAAGAGCGCTCTGCTCCACAGAGGGAAATGCTCGGAAACGCTGGTCTCGATCTGATTTCCTTCTTTTTCTCATTGGTTCTTTATATAAATCATCTTCAACTAGAGATAAACAGAGGATATATAAGATTATAGGTGTTGGGGCATGATATTCACCTCAGCCTCTAGAGTAGCTGGGACTACAGGCACATACCATCACACCTGGCAAATTTTTGTAGAGACAGCGTTTCACCATGTTGCCCAGGCTGGTCTCGAACTTACCAAAAACACAAAATTTTTTGGATTAGCCAGGTGTGATGGTGCGCACCTGTAGTCCTAGCTACTCAGGAGGCTGAGGTGGGAGGGTCACTTGAGCCCAGGAGTTGTAGGCTGCAGTGGGCTATGATTTTGCCACTGCACTCCAACCTGGGTGACACAGCAAGACCCTGTCTCAAATATAT